TTTTCAAGCACAAAGCCTCTTCTTGTCTACATCCAAAATAGCTTTGGACTATGAGCCTCCTTCCTAGATACAGGACATAAATAAGATAATTTCTGTATATCCTTTGAGATGATTGTATTCAGATTTATTAAAAACCACCATTTAAGTATCTCTCATATTAAGAAAACCATTTGTAAAGATATTTATTTGTTATTTGTTATTTGTTATTTGTTATTACTAAAGAATGTTTGCAATCTCCCTTAGGCTTACAGCATTAATAATGGGATTCAATTTACATAAGGAATCACTTAGCCCATTACCTTGTACCTAGTAGGTGATCAATACTTACCTATTGACTTACTGATCAGTAAGGCAAAGTGTATGTGTACTGGGATATTTTAACTCCAATGTGACAAAGGTTGAGTTGGGTTTTTTTCTTCCCCTCTAGGGATAGAGAAATAATCAGTCCCTTGTTCTTTTTCCAGTCACCCAAACCTGCCTTCATCAGTGCAGCAAAGAAGGCCAAGCTGAGATCTAATCCTGTGAAGGTCCGATTCACTGAGCAGGTGGCTGTTGGAGAAACAGATGCAGTAAGTGCAGCCTCAGCTCCCTCTCCTAGGCTCTTGGCCAGAACTGGCCTGGGTGTCAAGTTCTCATTCAGGGGCAATTACTTGTCTGCATTTACTCATAATGGACAGCATTAGGAAGGCCTTGGAGAGGGAGGACCCCAGTGCCATAAAGGTGGGTGATGGGCGAGGCGTATGTGGTATCCAGAGAGGTCCTGGGCATTATGGGGTGGAGTTGTGTACTGAGTCACTTAAGATTCTCATGGTGCTTTGAGAAGTTCCGTCAGTAGCTGCCACTCAGAAGAAAAGCTCTGTCAACATCTTTTGGTGGCTTAATCAAAGCAGGAAGGAAGGAGTGGTTTGCTGAAGACCCATGAGAAGAGCAGCTAGCGAGATTGAGCCCTCTTCACATTTAAGTGATCCTGTAACATCCACATCTTGACTGGAGAAGACTGTGCGGTGGCGAATGGAGCTTCCCTAGGGAAAATGATACAGACTCTCATTAAATCACAAAGTCTTCAGTAGACACCTGCTGGCCTCCCAGTGCCACATAGAATGCAAAAATATCTGTTCCCTGATGCTGGATAGCACTCAGTGATGTTGGGAGGATGAGGGGGTTCAGATGGAGGAGGCGAGACAGAATCCACTACTGGGAGGTGTTCTTCCAAAGGAGCAGGAGGTGTTCAATAGCCCATGTCACATAGCTGCCCATTCAGGGGGTTGTTTTCCATGGGTTTATGGGCTTTGCATGAGGTCAGTTATCTGCTCCAGATGTGCAAAGTAGAATGGGGAGCAGGAAATAATATGTGTGCTAAGCAGGGGTGGGCTGGGGCCCTGAGTCTCCCCAAGAAGATACGGAAGTTGGTGCTATCCTGGTGGGGACGGGGCTGTGTGGAGTTGGAGCTCACAGGCACTTGTGTGATTTTTCAGGCTGTTGCTGGCTGGGCTCTCAGGAGGCCCTTGTCATTCATGTACTGAGGCGCAGCTGCACTTGCTGAGGGAAGATAGCAAGCCCAGACTGAACAGGGAAATCAGTGGGGTGCCCGGCACTTAGGCAGTTCTTTGAGGCAGAGCTACTCAGAAGAAGGCAAAGAGGACACAGGTGTCACCCAACCCTATTTCCCTGACTGACTCTTATCCCCAAATTCAGCCCATGCCCTCCCCCAGCCCTGTCCCAGTGAGATCTAGAAGTTCATTGGAGAATACAGGGCCTCCCACTGGATAAGCTGTCATGCTAATCCAAGCAGAAGGGGTAGGGGGCCAGTATGGAGCTCCTGTAGATCAGAGTGAAGCAGACCCTGAGACCAGGGGTACTACAGAGATGGAGACGTTTGTTTTCTGAGCCCTTGAAAGGCCAGAGGAAATGCGACTTGAATTTGCAACGTATAGGCAGATGCACCCTGCCCCGTTTCGGCATTATAGAATGATGAACCAAGGCCAAGTCAGCTACTCAGTGAAGAGCTCCCTCCCTCCCTGGCCCTCTTTCCCCTTTCTTTTTGTCTTTGTTTGGGTTTTTTACATCTTTATTTTCTATTGGTTTGCTCACAAAGTTCTTACACATTGTGTTTCGCACTATTCTTCACTCCCACTGTGTTTCATACAATCATTCCCACACATTATGTTTTATACAATTAATCACCATTTGACTTACCCTGTCTTTTCAGGTCCCTGCCAAATCTTTCCCATTCCCTTTACCCCTTCCCTCCACCCACCAAATTGTGCAACCCTGTGGTTTCACCCTTACCCATCCTCACCCCTCTGTTCCCACCTCTTTTCCCTTTCTTTTTGTTTTTATATTTTTCTCCCCCTCTTTCCTCACTTCTGCCACTATAAATCCCATCTTCATACTTCTCAGCAAGGCCACAGGCAGAACCAAGCCCCCGTTCCAGAGTTGCTAGGACCTACCCAGCATTATTTCTTTCTCTCCTGGACTGGCTACCAGGCACGATTTGAGGCTCTTGACCAGGAGAGAAACAGACGTCAATCTTCCAACTCCAGCCGTGCTCAGGAAATTACTCAATGCTGCAAAGGCAACCTTAACCCTCCTCTCCCTGCCATCAATGTAGACCACAGCAGCTTCACCATTGGTCAAGCCCTGGGGGAGTTCAGGCCCAGGTGACTTCCGGCTAGCCTATCAGCTCTTTCTCTTCATGTTCCAAGGCTTTATTAAGCAGCCACAGCAAAAATAAATCCTGTGGGCGTTCCTTGCCAACTCTATTTTTAAGCAAAATCAATTAAGTAATTATCTGAGTCCAACCCAGTGTGCTAAATAAAACCTGCCACCGCTGAGCATCATCAGCCTGGGGATCCAAGGCCTCTGGACTTGGCAGGATTCTTGGGATCAGAGGAAGAGCCTGGGAGTCACACTTTTCCAACATTCTATCTATACTGTCACTTCTCACTTTCGCCTCACCTCAGCCAAACCTGACTACTGGCTCCCACCACTGCCAGCCAATAACCTAACCCAAGAGGACATGTTTGTTCTGGTTCCTACACTTTGTCTATGCCAGTCCCTTGATCTAGACTATTCTCTTCTGACAGTTCTAATAATCCATATCCTTCATCACCTTCAGTTGAAATCCAGTTCACCTTATCTAGAAAACTTTCTCTGTCTTATGCTTATTGTGTTCAGTCCTATATTTGTTCTTTAGTGAATTGATGTGTGTATATCAGGTCCCTGGTAGGCCAGTGGATAAGGATAAGGGGATGTGCTGCCAGCCCAAAGGCAGGCAGTTCGAATCCACTAGTGGCTCTGCGGGAGAAAGGTGAGCTATTTAATACAGCCTCTGGTGTTGTTTGTTGTTGTTGTGTAGCGTTGAGTCGGAACCAACTCATAGCTAACCCTCCAGTGGGTTTTCAGAGACAGTAAATCGCATGGGAGGAGATTACCCATCCTTCTCCCATAAAGCAACTGGCAGATTCAAACAATGTGCCTTTGAGATTGCAATGCAGCTTCTTACCACTAGGCCACTAGAACTCCCTCTGGTGCTATTTATTTACAGACTTTGAAGCCCCAGTAGGGGGTTAGCTATGAGTTGGTTCCAACTTAACTGCACATAACAACATGCCATGTCACTACAACAAAAATGTAAGACTGGGACCAGTTTCTCTATTTTTTTTAATATATTCATGGGGTTTAACATAGTACTAGTACCCAGCAGATGCCCAATGAATTAAAGAACTAATGATGTTGGCCCAGGAAAATGGTTAGTCCCTTCTGCTGAATCTAATAATTTGAATAAACACATGCTGGAATCTTTGGGTGTTGCACACGCTTAAACACTTGACCACTAACCCAATGATTGGTGGTTTGAACTCACCCAAAGATACCCTAGAAGAAAGACATGGTGATCTGCTACCAAAAAAGATACAAAGTCTTATAGAAGACAGGTCTATCTTGTATGAGTGGGGTCGGGAGAAGTCTAAAACAACTTGAGAGCAACTCGTTTGGTTCAGCATCTACTGCCCATTCATTCAGCAATTTATTGAGCACCAACTGTGCTCCGCATTGGGTCTACAAAGACCAATAGGACATGGTCAGTGTGCTCTGGGCTCACTATTTGATAAAAAAGATAAATATTGGAGAGGTGCATGTCGATTATAATAGGAACACATGGGATGAGCAAGTCCAAGTACCTGAGGATTTGTGGCGTGGCTTTAAGTAATACATATTTTGGAAGATGGGTAAGAGTTCAGCAAGGAGAGAAAAAAAGCTATTTCTAGGCTGAGGGAATAGCCTTTAGTTAACACATATTTATTGAGAACTCAGCATGCTCTAGGGTGCTCTGGGTGGCATAGCTCATAGGGAATTGCGCTCTTAAAGGTGGTACCTCTCTGGTGGTGCAGAGGAGTAATCTTGCCTCCAGCAACCTCCCCTAAATCTGCTGGAGGATCAGCTATGAGTTGACCCTGACTTGGCGGCAGTGAGCTGAGTTGCAATGTGCTCTGTCTCCTGTTTAGTAGCATGCAGGTGTGAAAGGACAGTGGGCAGACCAAGAATGGCAAGACATGATGCTGGAGAGGTAGGAAGGAACTTTAGGTGTCATGAGGGAGGGAGGGGGGAGAGTAGAGCAGAGGCATGAGCATAAAAGAGTTTCTTAATGTGTGAGGGGCATGATGGAAAGGGGCGAGTATGCATGTAAGTATGTTTTAGGAGATGTACAATAATGGAGTTGGCCTCAACAGGAACTTTTTTGAACCATGGTATAATATGGGTATGTGGTGACGTCGAATGCAGGGTGAACTTTGGACCAATCAGTGTCATCTTGGGGAATTTGCTTCTAGATTCTATGTAATATTATTACTGATCTGCTTTTCCTCTCTCTTCATCTTCCCATACCTCTGGCTCCCTGTGTCCTTTGCTTTCTCCTCTCTCTTCCTCCTCACTCTCTCCCTTTCCATGCCCTGCCCTCTGGCTTCCCTTCGCAATGACTCCCTCCCTTTGGCCTCTCCCAGAAAATGATGAAGAAAGAAGCTCTTCTCCTTATCCCCAATGTCCTGAAGGTTTTCTTAGAAAATGGGCAGATCAAGTCGTTCACATTTGATGGCCGGACCACTGTTAAGGTACATATAGCATCTCATCTCATCTTGGGTCAGATTTCCTAGATAGCGTGCACAGGACTAACTTCATGTCTTCATGCTCCTTTGGGTCTGCACATGGCTTTCAACTGCTGGAGCAAGGTGGCTTCTCAGTTCCTGCTGCTTGTGAAGTTGTAAAAACACCGTCATCTTAATGTCAATTCAGAACATACATATAAATAAGTTTAAACATCTATACTTGAACTGTAGATTCAGTGATCCTCAACACAGCACTAAATAAAAACCTGAAAAATAAAAAAAAACAACAACAACAAAAAAACACCGTCATCAGAGGGATGTGGAAGTGCAATCCCAAAGGCACATGGTTTGAATCCACCAGATGCTCCGCAGGAGAAGGAGGGGCAACCTTTCTCCTGTGCCATTCAGATCCTATTCGACGGTACACTAAAAGAAAAAAAATGCACCAAACAACCAAAAACCACAGATGGGGTGGAAGCATGTTATTCGGGGGTGGGAATTTACATGCCCAGCTGTGTGCTAGGGATTGTATGTCAGTGTGCAGAAGCACATGGATGCCCATTTATTTGGGAACTGATTTGTGCTCCTGTTCTACTGGGTCCTTCCAGCCCTCCTAGGAACCAAAGAGTATGGAGATCATTAAACAAGTCATTTCTAAAGCAAAGGCAATTTATATTGATACAGTAACACCCCCACATGGTTTACACACAGAAAATCAACCAGTGCACTCTCTGGGGAGATTAGCTTAGCCATGCTTTGCTTTTTAAATAACAACTGGATCTGAAACACTGAACCAAGATTTGAGAAGTCCAACAACAGCCCCTTTGGCTATTCCTTTCACAGGCAGAGTAATTATTGAGCTGTACTTCTTAACAGCTCAGCCAGGTGTCTGAAAAGTTGTAGTGATCTTCTTAGTCCTCAGGAGGTGATGATATGATTAACCCTCTGGATTCACTTTGCTCTGGGACAAGAACATCCACACCACCTTCTTCTGGACTCTCTCCAGAAAGAGAATGTCAGCCCTGGAAGGAATATTTTCATGCAGCCAGTGCTGCCCAAACTACTGCGGCACCTACAACCCAGAAATCCCACCAGATCCCACAGATATCCTTAGGTGCCTATGCTGTTGCAAAGACATCTATCTCCATTAAAACAATAATAATAATAATAATAATTATTATTATTATTATTATTATTAAAACCCAACCCAGTCCTGATTCAGGAAGACTTCTGTTGAGAAGAGTTAGCATATGTTCAGAACTGACTGTACTCATGGTTCTCAACCAGGATATATACTGTCCATTCCCAGAGGGCTATTGGAAATGTCTGAGGGGCCTTTGGACCATTACAGAGATTTGGTGGGCTATTGATATTTGGGATCTCAGGGTAAGAGATGCTAAGTGTCCTGTATCGGGTGGAACAGTCTGTGAATGATGAAAAATGGTCCTGACCGGGTCCCAGTAGTACCCCAGTGGAGACACAGTTTGCCTGGACATTGATTGAACCAAACCATATTGATTGAACCAAGAGTTTCTTTGGAAAGGTTAGGCCTGGATGGGTTGCCAAGCCAGGGGCCTACCTAAGATGAAAACACATTCTTTTTTTAATTTTATTTTTTTAATTGTGATTTTAACAAAAGTTTACAGAAGAGTTGGATTTTCATTCATTCATTCACTGTTGCACATTTTCCTTCCTAACCACCAGTTCACTTTTTTAAAGAAAATATTAATTCTTTGTTGCATTAATTTCCTCCCTCCCAACCCCAGTTCACTTTGCTATGTACTTCTTATTCTGGACTGTTTTAATACAAATAATGCCTAATCATTTCTTTTTCTTAAACAGTTCTTTCCTTTATCTGTTCCAGTGCAGTGAAACATTCTTTAGGGTACTATAGGATAGTCTCTTGGCAATTGAAGGTCTTGGCTGATGAAAGGAGGGGCATTGAAACAGAACTAGACCACACAGGGATTATCCAAATGTCCCTCCTCCAGATATGTGTATCTGTTAGTCACAGAATCCTCCTTGGTGGCTCTGCATAGGTTAGCACGTCCACTGTATATACTGCTCCACATTGCTGCGAGGGTATATTCCCCTGCCCCACCCTCAGAGGGTTTTCTAAGCATTCTCCCACCTCCCTGGCCATCACTATCATCATTGCTTCCAGGTGGCCCTAGCCTTCCAGGTCCATGGTATTTCCCTTGCTCATGACCTTACTCTGACTTCATGGAGGGTGCACTAGCTATTCATTGGAACTTTGACAAGCTGCCAAGCCACTTGTACCAGAGAGGTACCTGGGTGAATCGACAGCCTGGCACAGGGGCCATTACACTTGTAACACCAGTTGGCAATCACTGGCTTGGCCGTCCACAGTCCCATTGCAGCCGATCTTCAAAAGAAAACCTCATCTGTTGCTGCCAGAGTTCCAGCAACACTGGCGCCTCTGTGACTACTTGGATAATACAAAGAGAGATTCTAAAGTACCCACCAATTTCCAGCTTAACATTTGGATGGCTAAACATCTTTCAATGTTCCGAGAGGTTTATTTGGCAGCCGTGGCTGTCAGGGACCTTCTCATTCCCAAGCCTATTTCTTTTGGGCTTTGGGGAACTCAGCGGTACCGACTCCACAAACACACACATTGGAGCCCTGTGTATGTGGAAGACACAGAAAATAGATGGCAGAAACGCCAGAGTGACATTTGGGCAGCCCCCATGGATGTGTTACCAGACACCTTAATATTAAAAGGAAGACAGTGAGCTAGAGTTGAGACATGCTGTTAAGTGTAAAACACATGTTGAATTTAGAAGAGCTCTGCCAGCCTTCTGGTAAGGAGCTGTGCTACTAGCTAGAAGGAACCTGGTTCAAATCCACCAATGGCTCTGTGAGAGAGTTTTCTTCCCACGTTATCTACAGTCTCTGAAAACCTGCTAGAGGGTCAGCTCTGGGTCAGTTCTGACTCGATGACACATAACAACAATGTATATTTAAGGAGCCCTTATAGGATAGTATAGAACGTATTAGACTGTTACTCAGCAACTAGCTCATAGGAGACTGATGAGCAATGTCTAGAACAGTCTTGAAAATCCAATGGAGCCTCGCTATTACTACTGGTATCAGCTTGACAGTGGTGACCTGGGTCTAGTGTATACATAGAGAGGGGATCCATAGAGAGGCAATTAAAAAAAATGGTTTTTACTCAACTACTAACCTAAGGGGAGCTCTGGTGGCCTAGTCCATGGGGAGTTGCTTTCTAGCCCAGAACATGCACCTCTCTAGCAATTGGAGTCCACCAGTAGGCTCAGCCGGACAAAGATGGGCAATCTCCTCCCATGTGATTTACGGCCTCAGAAAACCAGCTGGAGGGTCAGCTATGAGTCTGCTATGAGACGAACCAATGTAAAGGCTGGCTGTTTGAAGCCATCCCATGACACCATGGAAGAAAGGGTTGGCAATATGCTTTCATAAAAATTACAGGTGAAAGATTAGCATGGCTCCTGCGCAAGGATGACATGCAAATTCGTGAAGCGTTCCATATTTAAAAAAAAAAATTACAGGGGAAAAAAACCCTCCCAAACAAATGCCACAAATGAACTATAGAGCAGTTCCACATAAGAGCACTATGAGGAAGAACTGACAGCATTGGCCTTTTTTTAATTATTATTTTATAGTGTTTAAAAAAACTGATACAAATAGATACAGATAATGTAATTCATTGCCATCAGAACCCACTTGAGCCTCCAGTTGGTTTTCATTCAGACTGAATTACATGAAAATAAATGACCCATGTTTCTCCCTCAGGGTTGCTAGTGGATTAAAATCTGCCTTTGTTTGGGTTGGCTGTGCAACTCTTTGCATAGTAGGCCACCAGAGCCCCTTTGCACACGTATCCATGAAATAATTCTGTCTCAAGAACAAACAAGTCCGTCTGGAGGAAGTGCAACCAATGTGCTCCCTAAGAGGCCAGGATAGTGAAACTTCATCTCCTATACTTTGGGCATGTTGTAAGGAGGGCTCAGTCATTTGGAAAAAAAAAACCACACCAAAAACCACAAACCATAACTTGCTGGGAAAGGTGGAGGGTTGGAGAAAAAGAGGAAATCCTCAACAAGATGGACTGCTGGTGACTGTAACCATGTGCCAGAGCGAATGAGAGAGGGTGAGGATGGCATCGGAGAGGGCAAGGGTCAGATCTGTTCATAGGGTCACTAGGAGTGGTAGTCAACTGGATGGCACCTAGCAACAAAAACAGCTTTTCAATTACACGTTGAGATGATAATTAGTTCAGATGTATGGGTTAAATAAAATGCATTATTAAAATGAAAAAAAAAATTAAAAGTAGGGCAGCTGAGCAGATGGAGCCTATAAGTAGTCAGATTTATGACTATACACAAGACATGTGACATAGTTCCTCTGCACGGACACATTTCTCAAGTTGCTAAATTGATCAGCTATCAAAACCAGCCACCGTCCAAAATGAACATTTCACTGGTAACACATGCCGTTTGAGTTAGAGGAGAAATCCAGAAATAGTAAACTTTTTAATCACATTAAATGGAGCTTTTATGATTTTTTATTTTTTTTTTCGATGCCGAAGACAGATTGCTCACAGGCGACCCAGAGTGAGCATTCTGACGTAGCAGGGGAAGAACCAGTCCAGGGTCTGGCACACAGCAAGTGCTGCTGATGGAGCCCTGGTGACATGGTGGGTTAAGCGATGGGCTGATAACAAAGAGGTTCGACAGTTCAAAGGCACCAGACTCTCCAGAAAGAGAAAGATGAAGCAGTTTGCTCCTGTGAATTTATAGCCTTGGAAACCCTAAGGGGCAGTTCTGCCTTGTCTATAGGGTTACTTGCAGTGAGTTGGAAGTGGCTGTAGGAGTTGGCAGTGCGGATGGATTGAAGGAGAAGAAGGAGGACCACAGGGAGGGAGAAGGAACAGGCAAATGTCAAACTGCTTCCCTCATCCCTATGTGGCTTCACTATTGCTCAGAACTCAAGCCTCCAGCGGCACTGCTGAGCCACATTGCTCATCCTGGAGCACAGGGTCTGGGACCCCCTAGAGACCTAGATGTCTTCTCTAGCCCCCCTGTATCTCTGTCTGCCCTACATTCCCAGCCTCAGCTTTCTCTTCCAGGACTAACTTGCCATGTTTGCTGTGAGCTGTGATGGGTCTCCCGCTCAGGGCTCTCTTCTCTTGTGCAGGATGTGATGGTGACACTACAGGACCGGCTGTCCCTGAGATACATTGAGCACTTTGCTCTTGTCCTTGAATATGCTGGGCCGGAACAGAATCACAAGTTCTTACTTCTCCAGGATAAGCAGCCCCTGGCATATGTAAGCAACTCCTTTGTCCTGGCTTGATTGCTTTGCATGCATATGGCCTCTAATTGAGAGAAAAGATCCAAGGCTGCCTTTGTCTGGAATGGTAATAATTATCTACTCAGATAAAGTGCAGCCAGGGTGCTCCTTGGAGGTGAGGATTTTGGGCATGTTGTCAGGAAGAGTTCTTGGTCATGCTTGGAGGGCCAGTGAAAGTGAGGAAGACCCTCAGTGGGATAAATTGACAAAGTGACTGTGACAATGGGCTCAAATATGTCAGAGATGATGAGGATGGCACAGGATAGGGCAAGGTTCAGATCTTTTGTTCATAGGGTTGCTAGGAGTTGTTAAGGATTCAATGGCATATAACAACAGATGAAAGGGTCTAGGTGGCATGGTGCATAACATATTGGGCTGCTAACTGAAAGGTCAGTGGTTTTAATCCACCAGCCACTCCACGGGAGAGAGATGGACAGTTCCTTTCCATATTTACAGCCTAGGAAGCCCAGTGAAGGGCTGCCATGAGTCACAATTGATTTGACAGCAGAGTTGATTGGTTGGTTGATATTCATATCCACCTTGCTCAAGTGAGGTCAGTACAACACTCCCCCAGAGGACTTTTAAAATTGTTCTTTATTACTCAAAATGAGTGTGAAGGTCACTGGTCTTGATCTCTAGTAGGGAACCTTTAGTGTGGTTGTTCACTTCACAGCACCTGAAATGTGGAATTTGAAGAGCAGTGTCAAGCCTTCTTCTGGCCCCTAAAATATCTACCAGGCAAATTCTTCCCCCTCCTCAGATGAAGGCTGTATCCAGAAATGGAATTGCCCACAAGAGCTATCTAGTGAGACTGAGACATGTGGAGATTGGGTATGGGCTGAGGATATGGCCCTATATGGACCAATAATGGACCTGTCACCTAGATCCACTTTCAAGGTAAAATAGGAAAAGGTTTCTGTGCATGGTGCTTCTTAGCTTTTTCCATATGGGAAAAAGCTGGAGAAGTCCATAATTGTTTGGTAGTGTTTTCCCAATCATGAAGAAGAGTCAGAGGTGCTCAAGACCAGCCAGTGCTCTCAGGTAGAGCAGCAAAGAGTTGGAAAGAAACAAATGGAAATAAATACAACTTAAAAGCCTAAATGGCAGCTAAACCAAAAGCAAATCAGAATTGATGCCTTTGAGTTGTTGTGTTGGAGAAGAGTACAGAGTATCCCATAGACTGCTCAGAGAATAAACAGATAGGTTTTGGGAAAAGCTCCTTGGAGTCAAGGATGGTGAAGCTTCATCTCATATATTTGGGGCATGCTGCTAGGAGAGACTATTCCTGGGAAAGGGACCTCATGTTTGGAAAGGTAGAGGGTCAGCAAAAAAGAGGATTGACACAGCGACTGCAGCAATGGGCTCAAGTGTGTCAGGAAGTATAAGGGTGGCACAGGATAGGACAGGTTTAAGATCTGTTGTTCATAGGGTCACTTAAAGTTGAATTCAAGTCAACAATTAACAACAAATCAAAATCAGACATAAAACATGAGTAGATCTTAGGGGGTGGGGGAAAATTCTTAAGTCAAATGCAATCCAGAGACTCTCAGGTAGGAAGAGAAGGTTTTCCTCCAAAGACCTTCTGGATGCAATTGGTCTGTTGTTCAAAATGGAAAATTTTCAACCTTTTAAAATGAAATATTCAAAACATACTAAAAAGTCAGAGAGATAATATAATGAGATAAACTCTCATTACCCATCTCAGCTTCAACAATTATCAGTATAGTGCCAACTTATTTCATTGATGTCTCCAAATGAGATTTCGCATCTGCTATTTGGCTTGTAACCAGTAATTTACACTGTTCCAAGCTGAGCCCCTGTGGTAAGTAAAGGCATTAGTCCCACAGCATGAAAAGCATCTGAAAAGTTCTCAGGATGCCTCTCTTCTTCCCTAGTGTTTTGGGGGCTTAGACACAATTGTTGAGAAAGAGTATGTCCTAGATAAGGGATGTCAAAATACCTGGGGTCAGAAGGGCTACAGGAAAAAGACCTGGCTCCTCGTCTCTAAAGGCAATTGGAATTGCCAGGATGGAAAAACAGCATCCTAGTTGAACCCCAAACCTCACTTCAAGGAGCCACTGAGCTGTCACCCTAAATGTTGACTCTAGATCTTTTTCTCCCCCTTCCTGTCTCATCCCTGGAATTTAGGTGGTACAGCGGACACATTACCAAGGAATGAAATGCCTCTTCCGAATAAGCTTCTTTCCCAAAGACCCTGTGGAGTTGCTGCGCCGGGATCCTGCCGCCTTTGAGTATCTGTACATCCAGGTAGAGTTTGCCTTGAGGCTAGACAGACTAATGAGGAAACAAGCCAGGAGGCTGTTCTACCATCACAATAAGCTGCTACGTGAGTTTTTTTCTGAGAGCTCTGGTGGCATAGTGGTAAGGAGTTGCTCTGCCAACCCAAAGGCACACAATTCAAATCCACCAGGGAGGAGATGGGCAGTCTCCTTCTGTGTGATTTATAGCCTCTAAAAGCCCACTGGAGGGTAAGCTATGAGTTAGTTCTGACTTGACAGCACACAACAACAGTGCCTTACATAAAGTGCTGTTAACCAAAAGGTTGGCAGATCAAATCCACCAGTGCCTTTGAGGGAGAAAGATGAACGGTTTTCTTTTGTAGAGCTTTACAACCTCAGAAACCCAATGGAGGGTCACTATACATTGGAACTAACCCAACAGCAGTGGGTTGTTGGTTTTTAAAATAGTTCTAAAAACCTTTTCCTCTTCTGCTACCATTATAGGCCATTACCGACATGATTGGCCTGGTGACCCGAGCTGACTAGGGCTCAGAGGCCTGTCTCATTTTCCAGACACATCAGTTTTCAAGACCGATAAACCCTGGTAGCTCTGGAATTCTCATAGGATCCCAAGGTTTAACAAGCCTATTTGAGTTTCAAAGAGTTTCAACCCCCAATGCCCAGCTCCAATAAAGAGGTGATTCCCAGTTCCGTTCAGGCAGAAACATTTGCTGAGCACTTGCTCTGGGCCAGGCCCTATGCCAGGTACTGGCGCACACTGGTGATAAAAAATACGTCCCCAGCTCACTAGAGTTCTTAGATACACACACAAATGAATACAAGGCAGTGTGATAAGTATGGCAGAGTTCACTGGCAGTCGAGGCACCCAGGAAGCAGTTTACCACTTTTCATGGGTGGATTACAGTGAAAGATGCACAGGAGATGTCATGCATGCATGCTTTGAGCATTGAAGGATGAGAAGTTTGCTGTGTGAAGAGATGGAGTGGAGGGAGCACATTCTAGATAATGGGGAGTTGCATTTACAAAAAAGACATGGTGGTGTGAAACGGCCTGGGTCTGGTGTCTTAGGAGAACTGCAAGTCATTTATTATGATTGGAATGCAGAAAGTGAGGTAAGGAGAAATAGGGAAGGAACTTAGAAAGACAGGAAGCATGTAAGAATTGGTTTGGTAGGTTGTGATAAGGATGGGCTTTTTGTTTTGCAGGGGCAGTGGTCCTCAAAATGTGATTCCTAGACCAGCATCTACAGTAGTATCTCCTGGGAACTTTAAACTCAAATCATTGCTGTTGAGTTGGAACAACTCAACTCATAGCTGACCTTCCAGTGGATTTTCAGAGGCAGTAAATTGTGTGGGAAGAGCACCTGGTGGATTTGAACCATGTGCTTTTGGATTGGCGGTGCAATTCCTTATCCACTAGGTCACCAGAGCTCCCAGTCATGTTTTCAGGCCCCAGTGATTCAACTGAATAAAAAAATTCTGGGACAAGGGTCCAACAATTTGTCTTTTAACAAACCCTACAACTGATTCTGATGGTTGCTAAAGTTTAAGAAATACTGATTTAGGCCAGGGATTGCTAATCCTTGCTGCATATTAGAATCATCTGGGGAGATTAGAAACTACTTCATCTCACCTAAACTATAAAACCCAGTTGTCATCGAGTCCCTTTGAACCCATATGTGTTAGAGTTGAAATGTGTGCTCAGCACAGCTTTCAATGGCTGATCATTCAAAAGTTATTGCCAACCTTTAACAGGACAACAAGCAATAAAGGTGGATGTGGAGAGGATGCGGAACTCTCAAACACTGTTGATGGGATTGTAAAATGATACAACCACTCTGAAAGACAATTTGGTGTTTCCTCAAAAAGCCGAACACAGAAATTCCATATCCAGAAGTATTTAAAAGATAAGAAAGATGGGCTTTGACTCAATGAGAATCTGACAGAAGCAGAATCATCACCCAAATTAAAATATACAAGAAGTAGAATGGATTAGGGGGGAAAGATTAGTTAATTTTCCATATGCTGAATGTAGCTAGATCCCTGTAGGACCTACAGAGAACACTTGATGGGGGGAGGGGAACTCTGGAAACTGATCTGCCTTTGTAGTTGACCTCTGGAGAGATGATGAGACATTTTAGTTGTCCTTTCTGTCCCTCTGACAATCTGCAATGTTAGGAACATTTCTCAGATATCCTCAGGTTCCTTTCACAGCACTCTAGGAAGCCAGGAGTTGTGGCTGCCCTGTAAATTTCTGAACCTTAGTTCTCATTTCCCCCCCCCCCCTAAATTTATTTCTTTAGCCTTCTGGGAATTGTCTTGGTACTCATATTTTGTAGAATCTGATGACAAGACCTTGTCCATCTTATCTTTGTTATGATGTGGGACTTCAGCTCTATTCCTTCATTTTCGTGGTTTGATTTTATATTTCAGGTTATCATTGACACAAAATAAGTTGCTTATATTGAAAATACATGCATAATTTAGTACATTTTGACAAACGTGTAGACCCTTAACGAGAGAGTTTCAAACAGTGACTGCCATAATGGGCGTGAGCAGGAGTGAGATCATGAAGATGGCACAACTTAGGGCACGGTTCAAATCCGTTGTTCATCATCTGTTGGTCGCTATGGGTTGTAATCAACATCGTGCAACAACATGTAACCATGAATCCACCATGATCAACATACTGAGCAGATCTAACACTCCCAAAAGTTTCCTCGAATTCCTTTGTAATTTGTTTCCCTCAGGAAACCACTGACCTACTTTCTGTCACTTATAGATGAGTTTGCATTTTCCAGGATCTTTAGATATATAGAAATAAATCACACACTATATATAATTATTTTGGTCTAGCTTCTTTTACACAACATAACTGTTTTGCTATTCATGCATGCTGTTGCATCTCCCTGTGTTGTTCTTTTTGTCTGGTGCCATCAAATCAACACAGACTCATAGCAAGCCGGTGAACAACAGATCTAAACCTTGCCCGATCCTGTTATCCTCAAAGTCTCCACCGTGCTTAAACTGGTGATTGTAGTCACTGTGTCAGTCCATCTCATTGAGGGTCTTCTTTCTTTGCTGGCCTACTACTTGCCAAGCATGGTGTTCTTTTGCAAGGACTGGCCCATCCAGACAACATGCCCAAAGAATGTGAGACCAAGTCTCATTCTCCTTGCTTTTAAAGAACACCCTGACTGTACTTTCTCTAAGACAAACTTCTTTGTTCTTCTGGAAGTCCCTGATACAGTCAACACTTCCCCCCCAGCCCAACACTATAGTGCAAAGGCAACAATTCTTCTTCAATCTTCTTTATTCATTGTCCAACTTTTACATGCAATTGAAAATACCATGGCTTGGGTCAGGCACACTCTTTACAGTGACATTCTTGCTCTTTTGCACTTTAAACAGATCCTTGACAGTAGATTTACCCAATGCAGTCTTAATTTCTTGCCTGTTGCTACCATGGATGTTGATTATATTGTGGTTGTTGTTGTTGTTGTTGTTGTTGTTAAGTGTCGTCGAGTCTCAGGGGACTCATAGCAACCCTATGAAGGAGAGTCCTTGACGCTTGGGTGCCTTTTCATCCTCTCTCCAGGTTCATAGGGTTTCCGGAGGCAAGCTATTATGGAAGTGGATGCCACTCCTCCTTCCAAATGTTGATTATAGATCCAAATAAAATAAAACCCTTCATACCTTCAGTCTTTTCTCCACCTATCATGATGCTACCTATTGGTCTATTAGTGAGGATTTTTGTTTTCTAGATGCTGAAATGTAATCCATATGGAAAGCTTTGATCTTTGATCTTTAGTCTTTGATCGGCAGCAAGTGCTTCAAGTCTTCTGAACTTTCTGTAAGCAGGATCTGCATAATACAGGTTGTTGATGAGTTTTCCTCTAATCCATCTGTTCATTCCTTTCTACTGTTGCTTAGTATTCCATTTATGGACATACCAATATTTGTTTATCCATTCACTTATTGATGGATATTTGAGTTGTTTCCAATTTTTGACTACTGCAAACAAAGTTTCTGTGAATATTCTTGTACAAGACTTTGTATGGACATATAATTTCTTTTCTTTTTGGAAAATACCTTGGAATGGAATGGTTAGATCATGATAGATGAATCTTTAAGTTTTTAAAGAAACTCCAGTACTGTTTTCCAAAGTAGTTGCATCACTTTATAATCCACTAGCTAGTTTCTCTGTATCCTCATTAATTGTTGGTATCAATATTTTTATTTTAGCCATTCTGATATCTCTCACTGTAATTTTCATTTGCATGTCCCTCAGGACTGATAATACTAAACATCTTTCATGTGCTTATTTGCTATTTTATGTAATCTTTAGGGATGTCAGTTAAAATCTTTTGCCCAATTTTTTCCCTTTTATTGTGTTGTTTATTTTCTTATTATTGAGTTTGAAAGTTCTTTATGTATTCTGGATACAAGTCCTTTGTTGCAATTATTTTCTCCTACACGAGCTTGTTTCTTCGGTCTCAAAACAGTGTATTTCACAAAGCAGTAGTTTAAATTTTGATGAAACCTAATTTGTCAATTTGTTTGTTTATAGATTGTGCTTTTGGTGTCATAACTAAGGAATCTTTGTCTAAACCATGGCTATGACGGTTTTATCCTGATTTTTTTAAGTGTCATTTTTTTAATTAACTTAATTTATTTATTTTTCATTTCAGTGAACATCTACAGAGATTTTGGAATTCCATTCCTTCATTGTTGCACCCTTCTCCCCGCACAAACCCCTCCCCCCTCTCCCTCCCCCGTTTGCTCCTCTCCTTGAAAAGCAAAAGAAAAACTCCCTCGTTGGTACACAATCCCCCCTGCACTTCCCCCAACCCCACCCCCAACCCCAAATATAATCCACTCTGTAACCCTCATTCCGTACTCTTACGATAAACATAATGCCCTATCGGGGAGAGAATAGTTAGGTTTTATCCTGATTTTACTTCTAGAAGATTTATCAGTTTATGTTTTACATAATTAAGGTGGACCT